TTCTAACCTAAATCTGTATTGACAGTAATAAAATGAATGTTATCTAATCCATTATCAAGGATAAATTAGCAATGTAAACCGCTGCATTATTTTTATTGACTAACGGCAATTGAATGCGTTGTAAAAATTGGCCGTTGAAAGTGATTTCAGAAGTTGCAGTTGCGATAATCATAATTACTGTACAAAACGTTTCGTGCGTGCATTATAAAGAGATTTATGGTTATTACATGAGAACTAAAGCTAATTTTTGCGTAATAGTACATTTTAGGTGCGCATTAAGCAAGTGCTGAAATTTTAAAACCATGAAGGATTAGGATAGTTAATAAGCGTTATACATATAATCTGCTTCCGTATTTAAAATGAGAGTGTTGGCTGATTGTTCTAAGTTGAAATTGCTTGCAATTATTCATCGCAGGAAAAGAGATTTTTCACGGGACGTAATATGTATCAAATATTCTGCACCTAATGTTCCCTAAAAGTTTAAAGCACATATTACTTGAGTGGTGATTTTTTTCGTCTTAAAAGCATTTATAAGTAAGTAATTTTCTTTCTGTTGATTGCGGTACCAATGAATAGATGACAGAGAGAAACCATTTATTCACCATACTTCACAACTAATTTATGATCTCTAATTAAAATTAAAAAAATTAAGGACAATCTTTGAACTACCAAACATGATAAACCACCACCATTTGTTTTTTTATTGTGTAGCTTCTAATCAGTAGTCATCTGAAGCCATTATACAATTTTATTCCTCCTGATGTGGCAAAAATATCATTTATCCTTTCTTAATTTGATAATTTTATATTTCCACCACAAATTGTAGATCATAAAATTATCTACAAAAATGGTCGTTATACTTTTTTTTCCTAAGAATCGCTATTCTTAAGATACCGCCATTCAAAACGTTTTCTCACCGCCTGTGTTTTTTATTGTGTTTTTTTAACGTGGTTTCCCCGGTATGCCTCCTCCACAATCTGTTATGACGGATTTTTATGGGAAAATACTGTATTTACTACATAATGATTATTAATTTTGAAATTACTATAGGTGATCTAAATTCTGTTAATATTTTAATCTGATCCATACTCTTCAAATTCAACTTCAGCCGGTGTTGTTTTCTTCCATTTCTTCTTCTTATCTTCATCGGTATCAGATGCATCTTCGTTATTGGATTCAATAGAAGTTTCGAGCAAGACTGGCCTTGGTAATTAGTGCACGCTGCTGACGCTAGCAATTAACACGTGTATTCACTCCAAAGGAACATTCAACATTAAAAGTATTTCACTACAGTCACTTGAAGAAGTAGGTAGATATTGATCAAGACCACAACGGACTAGAGGTTTGCATGTTTGCACTTTTAATTCATAGTTTGCAATGGGGGCAAAATTGAAAATGATGATAGGATCGTGTGTTTTTTATTGTTAGTAAATTTTTAAATCAATCTGATTTTAACACAAAAAGAATTGATACTTGAAATCTGCTTTTCACAAAAATCGTGCATTGCTCTAGGAATCGAAATATTATCTGTGACCCGTTGCAAGCTACCTCCTCTAACAATTCGTTTGATTGCAGTTTCCGAGGCAGTTTCAGCACAATTACGAAGTGTTGTTTTAGCTTGAAACATTACATAAATTCTACGCTGAATAATATTTTCTTCTTTAAAGTAAATAACGAAAGGATACAACGTAGTTTGGTCATTTGTCCGGTGGGGTGGATTCTACTTAATCTTGTACCAAAAATATAAAATTTTCAAAAATATATTACAACACCAAATCGCTATGTAACATTTTCCTGTCCACTTGGTAAGTATTAATGTTGTTTTAAACAATCTTCTGGTTCTGGGGTCAATCTACGTTAATATCACCCTCCTTATAGAAAGCATCAACAGTTTTAACTGGAAATTCTTCAGCTTTTCTTAATTTCATATACTTGTGGCACTCCAACATAGTCTGCCATAACCCTATATATCAATAATATACTGACTACAATTAAATTCAGATGGTAGTTGCAGTGCAACATGTCGGCAGTAGACTTAAAATTTGTTGCTTTTCCTCCGATGTCGTGTAACTGAAAAATTTGGTTTCGTGATAAGTTCGAGATTTTCAAAATTAGTCCAGGAAATGACAAAACCTAGCATTTTTTCAAAATGCATCGATATGCATATAATAAAACTTTAGGATCTTCGACCATTTAAACTTGGACTTCTGGCGTCGTATAATATCTAATACCAAACTTGAAGCCAACATCTGCAGCGCCATCACTGGGTATGCCTAGGAACTAAATCTGAGGCGCTAAATATGAAATTTGCAAGGACTACTATATCCACACAAAATATTTATACAATCACTGTTTAATTTTATACATTACGAATTAATTTATACAATAAATAAATTTGAAGTAGATATAATTTTTGGATAATGATAACAATAGATCGTGAAATAAGTTTTTTTTAAGAAATATACATGTTTATTGCAGCGTCTAAACAATCTCCAGAATAGCGTATTCTCATATGTCTGGTAGTACACGACGGTGAGAGAACCATATTTTGATGACCAGAGAAAGTGTTTAATTGAATTTAATTTAATTTTTAATTTTAATTTATTATCTCTCTCTTGTTCTCGGCCCTCAACAGGATTGCGCCCAATTACAGTGACCCACATAATGCTTTTTAGAGGTTCCTCTGCAGAAGGTCTTAAGTTGTTCTATACTACTCCGGTATTTACCTTGCGAATTAGGAAAACTGCAAGAAAACGTCTCTCGCTTAATTTGGAGCAAAATGTTTGGAATTAAAAAACTGCAATTAAATACTGTAGCATTTTTTAATTATCTTCAGTTGTTTTGAGGTTTTTTGAAGAGGACATTTTTCGTAAAATTGCAGAAATTCGTTTTTCACATTTAGCTCCAATTTGTTCAAAATTATGTAGTCTAAACTGGTCAAACTTCTAGAATGTATTAATAATATACCTACATAAATAAAGATCACTGAAAAAGAGTAACGATTAACGATCAATTTTAATTAGGGTGGTAATTAGGTTTCGGTGACTTTTTCGCTGAAAAAAGTGGGAACGGACATTATCTCCATCATAACTCGCACAATTTTTACGCCAGACTTTTTTAAAGTTTTTTTTAAATACCTTCGGTGTCTCATTTTTATTACTTGACAGTTTTTCTCGTCTAACTGCTAGGAAACAGATTTTCATTACCTGAACAACCCAAACTTACTCAGTAAAATACAAACCGCTTGTACAATGAGTGAAAATTCTTGTGGGGACGAACCTTTCGCGGGAACATTTATGGGGGTGACTGTTCCGAAGAAGTTTCCAATTTAATTAAGCTTTTTATTTCGTTTTGTTTTTTTTGTAAATGCTGTTATTACCCTTGAAATGCGCACGGACGCGCGACAGATAGTGTTAACGGGTTGTTGCTAGGCTGTGTCTTAAGGGTAGCTTTGAATTGGTTTTCGTGGGATGTGGACCTAACTGAGAGTCTCAAGTATCAAATTTTGTTTTATCCCCATGCCACCGAATTTCCTATAATCTAAATTCGTATAGAATCAAAAGGGGTTGGATCCGTTGAATCCAAGGGTCACCTCACAAATCGAAGATGGCTCGGCAAAGATTAGCATCAAAGCCAACATTTTACTGTGTTTTGAAGGCGACTGTTTACAAACTTTCAAGCTTAAGGTCGAAATTTCAGGTTTGAGGTCAAGCACTTTTAACAGATCTCGTGATCTTTTCGGCGTCGTAGACGCACTTGTACAAAAAATATTGGGGCTTAGTGCTTAGTAAAAACGAGAAGAATATTTACAAAATTAGAAATTACAAACTAATGCAAACAACATTATAAAGAGCACCACAAATTCTTACGCTATTCGAAGTAAAAAAATAAGCAACATTAGCACATTTTATGTACTTAATTTGCTTTAGGGATTATGAATTCGAGGTTAATAATCTCATTATTTAAATCTCGATTAAAACAGGGAACCTGTTAGTTTTAAATAATCGCTACCAATCGAATATTGTTTTTGTGCAAACAATGAAGGCATTCCACTCGAAATGCAGCAAGTGCCTCGGAAGCAATTCTATAATGGATATCTTTGGGACAAATAATTAACTCTAGAACAGTATGGCATTAACATTGAATGGATTATTTAAAATATACCTTTGAATATCTCAAGCCCGTTTCACATTCAAAAATTATTTCGTCGAAAGTGAAATAAATTGCAAGATATGCTGCAAGTACCTATTGCGCATGCCCCCGGCTAAGAGAATTTCATCTTTCACAAAAACTTTCAGCATGTACAACGCGCGATGGAATTGTTCTACGTTCGGCTTCCCGTTGCTCATGAAAATCTAGTAATTTTCTACTTAACCAATGAGTTGCGCTAAAAATACACAATTTTTATCCAAAGTTAAAAACTTGTTCTGTATCGACGACCGAATTATAAGAACTTCTACTTCAACTGCTGTTTGGTGGAATTTTCCTAGTGAAACAGACCAGTGTTGTCATTATTGCTTAATTGTTCAGAAGTTGCTGGCAGATTATTTTCCTAACTGATCTTTTGAGCAGATTGCGTTATATTAGTATAAAGGATTCAAAATGTATGGATTTGCAAACTATTCGTTAAACTCGTTTCTTTGCCTTCCTTTGTACATACAGGTTTTAAACAGCTTCCACTTTTCCAATTCTACCATTAACCACCATCAACCTATTTGGTGACCTTGTTCAACGACCATTATCTTCTTGTGTGAATTTTTATAGGTAAATTACCAAATACTTATACGTTGGCTAATCAAATAAAGCTGTTAACTTTACGGCTTGTACTTGCTGGATAATTTCATTATCTCAGATTAGTGTGCAATGGCATAAAACTCGGTTGCTATCTCCAGGTTTAATAAGCCTTTTTTACAATTATAATGGTGTGCTTTAAGGCGCTCTGCAAATAAAATTTGAATTTAAAATTTAATTATAAGATTAAGCAAATTTTTGCCAACCTTGTTCCCGCACTGTGGCTCACTATGAAGCAATCTCTTTTAATCGGTGCTTTTGTGCTGTGTGTGCCGCGTGTGAATTTTTCGGAGCGACGACCAAAATTAACTTGGCAATCGCTCAGATTGGCAGTTTCTGGCCGCCCCTCATCCGATAAGGATTCAATTTTTATATCCTTATGTCCGGAAAGGAAACCAGCCTTAACTCTCAGTGTGGTGCAGTATACACTTCGTTAACAATGCCGAAGACCAGCAGCAATCGAAAGCATTACACCGCCATTACCGTGACATTGGTGGCTCAATTAATCATGGTTGGTTTATTCTTCATGTTCGCCAAGTACGCTCCTGGTGCGGATGAACCCGATGGAAAGCAAGGAGGAAACCTTCATAATGATATTGATGAACACTATAGCAGTTAGTATACATTTGATATTCTTATTTATGATGGTTAGATTCATTTCTAGCTAGCCTTAACGCCAGTAATATAAAAACAATTATACCACAGGTTGAGCGTTAGACACTGCCATTTAGCCTTGTGTTGAATGCAATCGAAGCTTCAAACTGTCCTTACACGTCAAAAATATCTCTTTTTTGAGTTCGGTTTTCAGAAATAGGCCTGTAACATACCCCGATAATGCACAGTTGGTCCAGTTAACTGTGATTTGAAAAGTTTGACTGGATAATTTTTGAACATTAACAAACGGAAATTCTTCACTTAGTTAACTGAGTGTAGTGGTCTAATTGGCCCTTAGTATGTTTAATGATTACTAAAAAGTAGTTCTTCAGTCAATCTTCATTATATCAGGACTGAAGATTGAACTCTCGTGAAGTAAGTGGTGAGAATTTAAAAAGGCACTAAGTTCTGTAGCAGATCCACTGTACTATTTGACAAATTTCTAAATCGGACTATTTGTCGTAACAGTAGTTGTTATACGGGGTTAGTTTGGCGTTGCATAACCTTTATTGTGACATTTACTTGCTTGAGACGGTTGTGTGCTGTTTTGATATCGATATATCTCTCTTCATTTGACTCCCTTCCCCTTCACGCCTTTGTGAGGGCACGATCGTTTTAATAAAGGTCCTACACTTGTAGCTAAAATAGAATTTGCCATGTAAATTTTTAGGATATCAACCGAAACCCTGATATTTTTTTATTTCACACAGAATATTTAAAAAAACGAATTCGGTAACTCAATTTATTGTAAAAATACCTTTCGTAATTTTTCTCATACATTAATAAACAAATGTTTAAATTATTACTTTATTTTTTTAGGAGGCCTTAATATTCTCTATAGACGTCATAGTATTAATTGCAAAACCCATTTAAATTCAAAATTTCGTATTATATACAAATTAGTAAAGTTCAGAAATTATATTTTGTATTCTAATTCGAGGCCAATTCCTTGATGCCATGCGACATCATTTTTCAAAACATGGCCGCAAATGGCCGTTTAATACGCATTTGTAGCCAAGAGAGCACAGACGTCCTTCCTGTCCATGGAATACTCGATATCAACCAATCGTTGACTTAGTTCACCGTAGAGTGGTCTGTGCTACCCAAAATTTGTGCTTCAGTGCCAAAGCTTGCAAATGACTTGCTCCAGGCGCATAAATAGCATATTTTGAAAAGCTTTGATGTAAGGGAGAACACGCTAATGGGACGATACGACTTGGTTTCGTTTATTAATCACGTGGTACTCGAAAGGGGGAGGGGGTTCGAAAAATCATGGAAATATCACAAGGATGAAGAGGGGATGTAGTGAGATAATCACGTGGTTTTATTTTTTCGCTAAAACGCGTGATTTCTAAACAGAAAAGCGGCATGTGATCGTGGCTCGCCGTTATCAGGCGAGGATTTCTCCGAACGCCGCGTCAACAACCCGGCTCGGCTTGCCAGTCGCCAGTATATTCAGTGATACTGTTGAAAAAGTCTCACTAATCCGTGGTCCGAGGACAATGTTCATTAGATATGTTCCGTTCTTGTTCGTGCACCATGTATAATTATAGGTTTTCCACATGATTTTTATTATTTATATGCCAGCCAAAAAAACCTACAACTTTTATCTTTATCACGGTCCTTAATTTTCCAGAGTGAAAAGGTACCTACTTTCCTGTATTTAAAGATCACATTCAGAAAATATTTAAGATACTTTGTACTAAAAAAATACATGTGATTTGGGAGGAAGAGGAGAGTAGTCTTAACCTCAATACTTTTTCCGTTGTTCTCAAGGGTACATCTAGGTTTTTCAGGACTGTAATTTCCATGCGAAACCCTACCCAATCCGTTTTAGGTTACATGCATGGTCAGCGAAAAAGTCAGTGTTGCTTTTTTCACTTCTACGATGTCGTTTAAACTTGTCCAGTTTTGACATACGTCAAGGTTCTGCCTATAATCACGCTGAAGGTGCATCTCTCGGCCCTGATTGCCTCGCCCTGTATGTCTATGGTTACCGCCCGCAACCGTCTCACCCGTAAACATGGCGATCCTGATTTTATACGGCCCTTTATCTGCCCTTCAACAAATTAGCTAGTTTTTCCACGGCACGTTTCATACGCGCCACCATTCTAAGCAATGTATGCTCTTCGCCTGCTGTTGTCAAGTTAGACACCGTTGTGGTCCTCGACGCCAGCCGTATACAGGGTGTATTCCGTACGTATCTAGTCACAGCCTAACGTCGTTGACTGGCCAAATCTGTTCATCCTCCTTTAGTATTTGTTTCCCGGTGCTCTGGTATTAAGGCCAACTCTACCCGTCCACCTACAGGTGTTAGCTAATGCTGCATATAAGGGTAGCATCCGGTCGTTACAGCCTTGTAAGTGAATCAGAGTCCAAAAAAAAAAAAGGCGAGCAAAATTTTTTCACACTGAAATCGGTACTGGTGGTGGACAAAATTGTCTTTTGGGCATCGATGAAGGGCCTTTGGACGTACGTTTTTTCACCAAATTTAATGAAAAGTTAGAATGTTGACATCTCTTTGTCAACAGACGACATGGTCATAAAAGATGTATCAGACCTCTTTAACCTTCTGAATGTAAGTTAACGAAGTCGATATCTTAAAAAAGTGTATGAGAAGTTACGGCACGAACGGATGAACAAAGATAACGATTGACTTTTGAAAAATGTTCTAAAGAAACCAAAAAAATCGCATTACATTTAACTCTTGGTATAAATAGAGAGTGGGTAACGATATTTAATCATCTATCGCATTTAACAACTTTTTTATCCACGACATGCTCAATCGAATTACCGAAAGCAATTAAAGTGCATGGTTGTTGGATGTAATACATTTCATATGTGCATTCATAGCCAAGACCGCCATCAAGGTCGAATTATTTAGATGCGTTTATAGATTATTCTAATTGCTTTGAATTTATTCCTTCATCCTTGTGATTGCATAATGAAACGTAAACACTTCAATGGTGCTAATATCTGATTTACGTCAAAAATTTTGCCACTCCCAATTAGGTTAGCTACAGGTAACTAATTTTGGAATAGAAACAATGTTTGAATTATGCATAAATTGCTGCAGGTTTGTGTGCAAATTGGCGCAGTTTCACAGGCTAGTGAATAACTGTTGTATTTCATTACATTAGCTATCTATTAAACATTTCGAACGTTTACAAAAAATAAACAAGCATTAATTCAACAGTTCCCATTCATCAGAAATTACAAAACAATCCCTTTTTCCAAATAAACCGAGGGTCTAACGGGCGCCACCCCCAAGAAAGTGGTCAAATTTGCATTTCTTCTTTAATTTTTCTAGCCCCAATATGGCGGATTATGATATGTTGTCGCCACTGCCCTAATACAGTCACTATCTAACCTTGACATAGTAAAACACCTTTGATTTAAGGATTTCTTCATTTCGACAGCACAGCTCTAGATCTCTGTTACTCTTATTCTGTGTTTTGAAGATTCATTTGCCATTTGCATTGAAATAAATTGCCAACATAAAAGTATTTTCATCCACCCTCGTATGTTCAGGAACAAAAATGAACATTTTATACAGCGTGCGAAAGTATGCAACTATACCCAGCTGTTACCGTTAAAGGAAAAGGGAGCATTGAATTAGAAAGCCATAATCCGAAAATGTGTTTAGTGCACAAGAACACATCTACGGCCTTTCAAAAACACGTAGAAGTGACAAACCCTGTCTTATGCGACCTACATTTCCTCTATAATACCTAAATCCCCGCGTCTTCTGACGTCTTTCATGATCTACCTCAACTTTATTTCCCCATAGTTGGAAACGTGACATACTTCCTAATGCGCCCCGGTTTCCCGATAGACACTTATCCTCCCTTCTGAATTAGAGATGTTACTCTATTTCGCTTTACGTATACAGTTTTTCTTTAAGTGACTACCTAGAAGGAGCCCTAAATCAAAGTTTAATTTGTTTTACAATTTCAATACAAAAAATAATGGAACCGTCACGCCTTTCAATTTGGAGAGCTGGAATAAAAATTTTCCAACTGACTTGCCTACCTACATTTATCCAATTGGGTTGTAGGAATATCAAACATTAATAATAAGCAACACAAATAATTAGAGTTCCATCTGTAAATTGATACACGCTTATTTACGTAACAATGCTTGATTAATAAGCGTTAAGTTAACTTGTGATCATTATATCAAATTGTTAACAGGGATTTGTTTAGCCGAATCAAATTGCTTTTAATGAATACATCCGCTTGTACAGATAAAGGATGCAAATTGATTGCCTACTTTAGATTGAAATGCACATAGTAACGTAATAATGTCTTCATCTTCTACTTGGCACGCCATAAATGAAAATTATAAATTTCTATGTTTGGTTTCGGTTGTACTTGCCGAAAGAATATCGACTCTAGTTTTGATATCAATTGCTTGAACACCAAAATAAAGAGAGTAAATGCCCTTTTGGAATATGGGACAGTTCTTTGGTTAACGTTTTAGATCATTCTGCCTTACATGTAATGAGTGATCGATTTGAATTTTAAAATATACACCTTTGTGAATTATAATAAAAATGTCATGTTAATGTATAGGTAGAGCACCCAACGTCCTGTTTGTTGACCATGAAAAATGACTTTTGGGTCTCCTATTTGTACATGGAAAGAGCTATCGATGTCGATTGTAACACAACAAAATATAATAATAGTTATTTATACACGACGATAAAGGGATATTTTAACCATTGAGTGAATTAACTTTCACGAGATGGTTAGTTTCCCTTTATGGTCATGTATAATACAACATTTTACTTTATAGCAGTAGCCAAATAAATTTAATTTAGACGTCAAAAATAGCAGGGGCGAACTGGCCCGGGGGGAGGGGGCGGGTGGCGATTGCCATCTGACCTGTAGGTCATAATGGCTCGTTGGAAATTTATTAGTTTCTTGCAATATTACTTATTAACACGTTTCTCTCATTG